AACCACTACACAGCACATCATTATATGCTAAGCTAGCCCAACTTCAGTAACCGTAAGAACGTCACTGCTGGTTAGTTTTCTGTCTTCATTTATATTTATGTTGTATATTTATAAATGAATGTTGTATATGTTGTATATTTACATTTATGTTGGAAGTGATAGCAGAGCTGTACATTTTAATTTTTCTGAAATTCCTCAGTCAGATCATGGTATATTATTTAATCGCATTAAAGAAAAACGACTTCCCGCATGCCACTAGAGGGAGCTCATGTACCTCCAGTGGTACACGTACCGCAGTTTCGGAATGAGTGTGCTAGAGGATTCTAGCTGCTCATAAAGTCCTGGTCTTCGTATCTTTGGTTTCATGATGCTCCAAACGGTCTCAGTCGGTGAAAGGTCAGGACTTCAGGCAGGTCATTTCAGCACCTGGACTTTTCGAAGTCAGGTTGTTACAATAAAGTCAGATGTGGTTTCTGAAATATGAAAGGCCTTCCCTGAAAAAGGCATAGAATCGGAGATGATGTTGCTCTTAAACCTTTATATACCTTTCTGTACTGGCGGCACTTTTCCAGATGTTGTTCCAGATTGGCAAGCTGCCAATTCCAAAGCCATTATTGTTCCTTGCATCCAGAGATTTCTACAGATTCTCTGACACGTTTGGTAACATTGTGTACTGTGGATGAGGAGATGTTCAAAGTCATTATTTTCCATTAAGAAACACTATTATGACATTTTTTGCAATTTATAAATGCAGGTTTGTTGCAGATTGGAGAACCCCTGCCCATCTTTACTTCTGACAAACTGTGTCTCTCTAAGATGCTCTTTTTATACCCAGCATGTTACTGACCTGTTAATTAACCTTATTAGATGCAAAATGTTCATCCTGCTCTTTCGTTTTAACACTGGTTACTTTTTCAGCCTTTTGTTGCCAACATCTATCATATGATATGTGTTGCTGGCATAGAATTTAAAATGAGCTAATATTTTACAGAAAATAGTACATCAGTTTAAACATTTGATATGTTTTCTATGTTCTGTTGTGAATACAGAAATCATTTCATTCTGTTTTTCTTTTACATAGTGTTCCAACTTTTTTTGGAATTGCGATTGTACATATTAGGAAAGGCACTGACACACACACATACACTCCTTCCTATAGTGATTACCCAGCCCACAGCCCACTGTCGCTACAAGGATTAGCTCTTCTGTCACCATCCAGGATCTTGTGCTTTAAAGAGGGAAGCAGCCTGAATTACAGCCAAGCTGACAGTATGCACTTCATAGCTCCTATTTCACTGTCTCAGACTCTCTGTATATATCTCTGACTTGATCCAGTTCAAACCACCTTTGGGAGCAAAGTCTCATTGCTCTATATTTAAGTGTGCTTGTTATCTAGATGTGTAGCTATCCATGCTGCAGGAGTTTGTGTAAGGATAGGAGGGCATATGGCTGGAAGAGTAAAGAAAGAGATGTTGACACGCAAGCATTTAAAACGCACACACACACACACACACACTCACACTATCTATCCATAAAAATGCAAACAAACACTGTCAGTGAACTGGCATGCAGTTCAGATGAGGTCTGATGGGCTTGGCTGGGCTGGCAGTCGAGTGCTTTGGGAGGATCAAACTATAGCTCTTATCTCTCTGGCCTGATGGTCTAACCTCTATTCCCTGCCATCAGTCGCACACATACACACTCAGGCACACACACATACACACTCAGGCACACACTCAAACACACTCTCAGGCACACACACACAAACAGGCACTGTACTGATTGTGTTAACTACCTCACTTTTAGCCACCTGACTGAATACAGCTGAAGTAGCTAAACTGCAGCAGAGAGCATAAATCTGTGCATCTGTTAAGGGAAAAGAGACGTCTTTCTGCAGGCACTCGTAGGCAGTTTCTGTGTTAGAAACAAAAAAACTGCACCCCGCCTGCATAGGTGTCCGGCTTGTAGCATGAAGAGGAATTGTATTCCAATAAATCATCTGCTTAAACTCAGACTTTGAATCATAAATGATTTTATGGATTCATTAAAAACAAATGTAGTTATACTGTATATAAAAGCAGTGCTATGAGTAATTGCTCTTACAAAGTCTGATTCTGCGAACCTTGGGTATTAGTGATTCATGTGCCTTAGGACATGCAGTACTGAAATGATCAGCTAATGCTTGCAAGCTTGATCATAAACCTCGTGAATAAGAGGTCCATATCACCACCATCTCCCCATGTACTCTGGCATCACTGTTTGAAGACATGCATGTGTGACTGACTCAGAAACAACAATTCTTCAATTCCTGGACTCCACGTGCTCTATCTCCAGCCTCGGTGGTGCTCGTCTCATATTGTGAGAGTGCACCTTGTACAGTTCTGTCTCTCTGTTATAGGATCCACAGTGGATCCTACTACATGACAATATCTCCCCCCGAGCTGTTGTCCTGGCTCTTCCTTGCCATAGCATGTGTGTATATATATAGTATATATTGCATATATTATATATAATGTCCCCCTCCCCCACACCATCTTCGTTGAGGAGCATGTCAGGTTACATTTCACTGTGTGTTATACTTTGCATGTGACGAATAAAGAACCTTGAACCTTAGCTGTGAAACGTTTAAGATTTTGGAGTTAAAGATTTTGATGGCATATGGTGAACAAGGCATTGTTGCCAAAGAAAAATAAAGAGAAATATGAATTCTTTACAGCACATGGTTAAATGTAGTCTTTGCATACACCTAATTAAACTTTAAATGCATTTTGACTCTAATGAAGAGAGGTGATAAACTCTCTAAATCTTTGAGTAATAAAAAGAAAGTCAATCAAGTTTTTCTAATCAAATAAACGCCCTCATTTCTATTACTTTGCTGCTTCTCATGACTAGCACAATGTGAAGTTATGCAGCAAGCGACCTTCAGTTGCTAGGAAAACCATTTAAAGATGTTCAGAGAGGAGCAGAGACGTCTCCATTAAATTAGTTTTTCCCTCTCTTCTGTTGTATAATTGCTTATGCTCAGATGTACATTGTGCTGAAGTACCTGCATGCCAAAAGTAATTACAGTTTTCTCAAGGTGCAGTAATAACTCTTATAGAAGTGTCAGTTAAATGGAAATGCCTGTTTGTCATCAGGCCATGACTTACTGCTCTTTGAACCTCCAAAGCTTTGCAGTTTTTTTTTTTAATTTTGAAACATTTCATAAATGTTGTAAAAACTGGTATTTGATGCAGAGTCCAGTTGCATGGCTCCGATAAGAACTCAAATTTACACAGTGCTGTCAGACTTTAACCTGATAACAGCTCACAGTGAAGCTAGCAATCAGGCAAATGAAGAAATCCACGTTTTTTTTCTGCCTCCACATTCCAAGCCATTAGCACTTTCTATGGGTAAAGAAATTATAGTTGGACATTCGTGTCAAACAGCCAAAACTTCAGAGAAAAATAGAAAAGAACCTTTTTGAGGGTTTAGTTGGAACATAAGCCTTCAAATAAACAAAAGGAACAAAGAATTAAAGCAAGCCGGATATATACATTTTTGTTCTATGTGTGAATTAGATTTAGCCATGCCATTCAGGCATTTATTAAAAGAAAAAATGGAAAAGGATCCCCATTGTGAGAAATTTGAAAAGTGCACGCTGAAAGAGTTCAAATTTCTTTGAATTTAGTCTAATGAATCAGACCTCTCAGGAGCGCTGGTCATGTGTACGGGAAAGTGTCGTGGAGAGACACGAGGCTAACAAAAAATACTGCATGTTTGGTTGTCGTTAACATTGTTAAGGGTTTTCATGTTGAGTGTTTTCATGCATGTTGTCCGAGCTCAGGCTCAAAGCAGCCTGTGAAACAGTCATGAAAAGGTGCTGTGCTGACTGTCATGCAAAAAAGCGACTTTATAAGTAAATTTATTTTTAGAATAGTTATAAACAGAAGTAAGTTTTATGTTGGGAGCACATAGACAAAGCAGGGATGCATCACCATGGCAACCAAAAAACAGTGCTTGAAAAGAATTGGAGTTATTGTAGTTTTAAGTAGACCTAACCCAGTAGTTTTAAAACAGCTACATCTTACTCCCTAATGCAGTTTGAATTAATAACACAATAAAAAAGAAACACAAACGAGGTGTGAAAATCTTTGAAGTGTGTGACTTGAACTGTTAAACTGGAGTCTCTGCTGCAAACTGCAAAATGATTTCCACCAACAACAAAACCACCAAATGTGGATTCCCCCCCCCCCTTTTTTTTTTTAGAATGTGGGAAATATGTCAGTGTGATTCATACATATGAGAATCTGTGTCTGGAAACACAAAGTAATAGATTACAGGTCATGGTTGGTTCATATGTACTACAGTTAGACTAGCAAAACTCTAAAAGCAGGTCATCATTTCCTTGTTTTAGAGATTCTGATGGCTTTAAAGCCACGTTGAAGAAGAAGATGTGTATCTTACTTCTTCTGTGCAAAGTTCAAGATTTAGTTCACTTTAATAATTAAGTTGCATTTATTCCTGAGTCTGATATACTTTATTTAAAATGGGTTTGATATTTAATTATCGATTCTATTTCATTTTGGTAGGTTTTATATAAGTTTGCAGTTGTGTCACACGAATTTGAATGAATCTCGACACATTCCCATCCACATGGCGCTTTTCTCCGCCTGAAAAACAAATTCCTGTGCTTTCCCACAGTGGTGAACATTTTTCTGAGGGTTGTTGGCTTAATTCATAAAAATGGCTGTAGCTGTCCATCTACAGCCAGGAAACGGCACCGCATTTTAAAACATTTTGGTATTCAGTGCACAGAAAACCAGGAGCTCCACAAAATAAAGTGCTTCATGAATGCTGATCCCAGATGTCTTCAAGCTGGTGAAGTTGTGAAAAGGTCAAAAGTAACACTGCCAGTGTAAACCCTCAGAGTGATGTTATCCAGCATGCATCTACGGGCAGGTTGCTGTCTTTCAAGCAATCAATCAAAACAACAGTTATTTTGGAAAAGTCTTTACCAGAATTGCAACCATTGTTTTTATACTTTGTGACACCAGAGACATTTGGCTGTAACTTCATACAGAGATTCAAAAGCTTCCAATTCATAGGATACAACATAGAGACATTTATTTCTTGTTTCAATACCAAAACCATGTGGTTGTCCCTCCCATCAGCCCCAGAAAGCAGCATTGTTCATTAATAACCAAAGAAATGGAAAACAAAACAAACATCCACTCCCGTAGAGCCCCGTAGCCCACTGTCCTTCTCAGTCCTTCTGTTCATTCGTTCAAGCAACCAAATAATAATTCACAGGCGAGCGTGTGTGCATATGAGTGTGAAAATATAATTTGTAATAAAAACAAAAATAATCTAGACTGGTTTCCAACACTGGCCAAACTGGAGTCAGTATCTCCACAATCTGCCCTCCTAAATCCGAGTGGCTCCAAATGAAACCCTAGTTTTTCCTTGTCTCGTCCCTCGTGGCTTCCCAGCACAGACACACACACGCGCACACACAAAGCTGGGGAGTTTTTGTTTTGCGTCGTAAATCCTCAAAGTGTTTTTGATTACCACAGACGGCTGCGTTGTAATTCTTGGCTGGGTAACAGTTTTTCAAAAGGCAAAGGGGGGTGAAATTGGTGTGGTGGCTCCTTTTTCTCGTTGGTCGTTTTTGATTCCGCGCAGGCTCGCAGAATCCGATTCACGACTCGCGGACGTGCGGCGGGACATTAATGGAGTTCTTCATCGAGCCAGAACCAAAATGTGAGAATACAAAACCAAGAGAACGAAAAAAACAAACAAAAATAGTTACATCATTCCTGTGTTCTTCAACTTTACTTGGTCACTTTTGAATTCCATATATTTATATCCATATATATTTATATATATATATTTATATATTCTTTTTACAATTAAAAACACCATGGATCTGACAGACTATTTGGTTTCTTTTTGTCTAAGTAGAAGTGTTTCTCTTGTTTGGTAAATAAATGCATGTGAATATTTTTTTTTCTTTTTCCATACTGTCAGTCGGTGTAAAGGCGGCCACTCGAGTGTTTGTATGCTTGTGTACATACAGTATGCATATCATCAGCACATTTCAGATTATCCATGATATTACATTTTTCTTTTTTGTTTTTTAATTCAGCATTTTCATTCTCATCCCACAGATGCAGAACACCAGAGTCTGTCAAACAGTGTAAAACAGTAAGTGAATGTCCTAAATCGTGCCCTCTCATTGGCCGGTTTGGCCCAGGTCTCTGTGTGATAGGCTGGGGCTGAGTAGCTGGGTCTGCGTGGGTCCGTTACAGCTCAGCGCCCCGGCACTTCCTCCGTTAACGTTCAGGAAGCAAACAGTTTCTCTGGCTTCCACCAGTGCAACCGTTGAGGTGCCGGTGAAGACTCCGCCCCCCTCCTGCTTCCTGTGAGCCAGCGCCAACGCCCTGAGTTGCTCCTGTGCCTCTTCGAGCAGCAGGGCCACCTCATCCTGCTGCCGTCCAATGGCAGACGAGCAGGAAGATGAAAACAACGGGGCGTGCGCTGCCTTTTCTTTCTTCTCCTCCTTGCAAGGCGTGGCCCCACAGGTGACTGACATCGTTGTGGTCGCTGGGGTGGTTTGCATGCAAGACACCTCATTGTCATGGTGACACTGCACAGATGGAATGATGGGAATAGAGCAGGAGCGGAACGGGGGAGGTGGGGAGTGGCTTTGACGGCGTCCCGGCCTTCTCAGGCTGCGAGTGGTGGGATTGGGTTCAGATGGAGGACACAGATGTGCGCGTACCTCCACGCAGCCGCTCCAAGGCGATGGCGACAATGCCTGCATCGCAGGAGCTTGCATATGTAGGAAGGTGTCATCACACTGGTTCTCTCCCTGCACTTGGACACTAGAGAAGAAGGAAAATGGGGAATGAAGACAAACAAGACAGAGACAAAAAAGGAAAAGGAAAGGAGTGAAGGTTATTCAGCTGGATAAAAACTTCCACACTTCACTTGGAGAAGTCATCGTGTCTCGGGTGTGTTTTCAACTCAATCGCTTTTTCAAACTCCCACGTTGAAGCCCTGACAGAATACACACAGGCGCAGCTCTCCGCCCTCTGCCATCTCACAGGCTAACCACGGATGCGGAGGGGGAAGAAGATGAGTCTGACATTTTTCTTTCATCTCTTTATATCCAAGTCTGCACACACGCACTCAAAAAAACCCTCAACTCCTTTACATAAGTAAGGAGGTAACAGAGAGTTCATTTTTTAATTATTGATTTTAATGACTGTGTTTGTGTCGGAGAGTGTGTGTTTAAGGTGGCGAGCTTTGCTCAAGGACGACTGAGGCAGTCACATCATGTGTGCTAATTTTTCCTCCTTAAAAAAAGCAGAAAGCGGTTTTCGGTCAAGATCGTTCACTTTGAAAAGCTTTTGTGCACATAAAGTGCAAAACAGCACTCACGTTTTTAAATCAGCACCATAATACTCAGTGCCTGCTTCTCCTTCCTCACCCCTCAGATTTGAATGTTTTCACAAATCTGACTTGTGCTGCTTTACCTGTCAACATCCCGTGTAGTACTGTATGTTCAAATGGCGCTGCTGGGTAAATCAGTATTTCAGTCCATTTCCATTTTTGTGCTCTACTGATTTAGTCTGTCTGTTCCCGTTAGCCTTAGCTTGTTTGTCCTCGTGCTCAGCCTAGCCAAATTATACCTTTCATTGTGTGCCCGCTAATCTTTCACAATCAGTGGTGGCATTTACATGAACACAAGAAACCAGGTTACAGGCAGAGATCGGCTCACGAAGTAAAAAACACTGCTGTCTGGAGTGTTATTTATTTATTTGTTGTCAGAGCATTCAAAGTAAAAGGTGCGGTGAGACAGCAACGTAACAGGAGCCACTGCTTTTACCTTCCTCACAGTGAGAATACAGAACAGTTTTAACTTTGGGGTGTGAAAGCTGACTGCCAAAAGAGACCGAAACCATCAGTATTTGTGTCATTTTCAAGTCTGGCTTGATGCAAAGATGCACTGCTGTCACTTATCCTGTTGCACTGCTCCAACAGCAATACTGATGAACATTTGCTAATACACAGACATATAAAAGGCTCATTGCATTTTCATATTCATGTGAAGCAGGTTCGATGCAAGGTTATAGATGCGTGAGACGTTTTTGGAAGAGAAGGAAAGGAAGACGGAGATACCAGTCCAACACTGTCGTTTGGAGTGCCCCGAAATTTGGTTGCTGCAAAGACAAAGTTGATATTGGGCTGATACAACTCTTGGTAATAGTTAGGAAAGGCTTATGATTGAAGATATTAAAATAAAATCATGATTATTTGTGATAATTGTGATTTGTGATTCACCTGTGATTGCTAACTGAAGCTCTGGCACAGAACTCACAGAGATCAGTCCACAAACATGACTTACACCCTTATATGTTTGTAAATGCTGGCACTGGGTGGAAATCGTGAACTTTGAAGTAGAAACCGATTGCTAGCTTACAGTTACATGGTGAAAAAATGAAACCTAACTAATATTTAGTCAGCAATAAGGTGCAAAAAGATGGATCTAAGCACCAGAGAATGTTGGACATCTTTGAAGGTGTAAGTTTGACACTTTGGCTGTCACCGTGTCCATATGCTAACGCACATACCTGCTATAGTTGGTAAATAACTCTATACATTAAAAGGCAAAACATCCTGCTGTAAAAGCTAATACTTGGGTGTAATAACTGAGAGCATAAACATGTTAGCAAAATATTTACTGACACCACAAATCGAGTAAGAAGTAGGGTCATTTTCTCACAGACTTGTACGCAATCTTTTTGCAATCAGAGGATTTGTTTGTCTTCTTTATATAGACATAAAAATCTCGCTTATGCAGAAAGCGGGCATTAACCTGCCTGTATCAGCTCAATAAAGGCAATAACTGCTTATTAAACCACTACTGTTATTCCACACTTTTATCTCCATTGTAACTTTAGCCTCTACTTTCTTTGTGTCAATTATGGCGAGCGTCTGTATGGAAAATGAATAAAAGTGTGGAGAAGTCTGATTTTTTGTGCAACAGTATAGGCACTTGGGTCTTGTTATTCTGTCTTTCTTGAACATAAACGCTTTCGTCCTCTTTCCAGGACTGACCATTCCCCTCAGCATTATCAGTGTTTAAATTCAGCTGTAATCAAGAGCAGAGCTTCATTATCTTTGTGTAATAATTCATAATCCTTTGCCAAGCCAAGCCTTTATTGCCATGTTCAGATTAAACTTGGGGTCCCTCTTCCTTATGATACCCTCATCACACACGCTTCTGCTCTCCATCAAAGTGTGCAAAAATAGCGGTGGGTGGAGAAGGTGCCTTTTCAGACTCAAAGGAAATCGCATCCTTGTTTTATCTCCGCAGTGTTTTTCCGAGACATGAAAACCTCTCCGAAAACGACAGCGGAGGTTTAGTGGGCCCACAGAGAGGATCCTGCAAGCGATAAGAGAGGATGATGCGAGGGTGCTAATTCCCAAGATAACATTCACAGACAAATCTCTCTTTTGATGGGCTGAAACACAATCAGATTGCAAAAGTCTATGAAGCACAGTTCAAATATAGACCCCGGAGCGAAGCGGCAGCAGCTACGGGGGAATTACAGAGAGATTGTGTGCAAGTGAGGTGAGATAAGTGACCAGCCTTTTATCTTTAATGGGAGCTCATTACATGTACAAGTGTTAACAGTCATTTTCATTAATCTATTGCCCTACAGATCATTTCTTAATATATCCCTTGTTTCTGTTGATAAATTCAGAATACGATCCCTTTTGTTAAACGACGCAGTCATCTTACAACACTGAGAAACGTACAAAGAAGGAGCATGCGTGCATTTTATTTGCAGGTAGGTGTGCACGCCTACTCATCAAGACTTAAAAAAGCAGTGTTTTCTCTAATTGAAGGTTGTGCATATACGACAAATTGAGAGGAGGGGAAATCCAGCATGTCCCACAGAAAAAGAAAACAAATAAATTCATGCAACTTCTCTCCGTCATCCTTTTTGTTGAGATAACACTAGGTTTCTCAGAGAGGTGTGAAAAAGAAACGAGCAGCCTTTCTTTAAAACATTTCCAAACTGTCACGTTGTCTTCTCTTTCATGACTTTTTACTTCTTTGCTGCCGTTTTCTTAAAGGTTACTGCATTTAAAAAAAACAAACTACTTGTATCCCGAAGCTTATGCCTCTCTATCTCACTCAGACTCTATGCAGCAATGGGCAAATGTCTCCATGGCAACCCAGACAACCGTATTATGGGAGAGCGATGCTGCTGTCTGTCGGTCCACCTGCTCTTATGTGAAATCTTACATTAGGTGGCGAGTAAGCGAGTAGGTGAGCGAGTGCGTGCAGGTCAGTGACTCAGTCTGAATACATGTGTTTGAGCATGTGAGTACTAAGTGTGAGACTGAGTAAGCGAGTAAGCATGACCTCCTGTATATTTTGCACAACCTGCTCACGTGTTCGTACCCGAACTATGTGGGATTTTCATGCAGCATCTGTGAAAGCATGCATGAGTGTGCGTTTCCATGACAGGGAGTTGGAATGCAGTGCAGTGGAGCGCACGGATATTCTCTGGACAAGGGCAGAAGGATTTGAGCCAAGTTTGAGCACCAAAGGGTACGTAAGCTCTTAGTTTGATTTTCTGCACATGAACATTGGACTACTTCGAAAAAATCAACCCAGGATATTTCCCCAGTTATCCTTTCCTCATGACCAGAGATGGGCAGTTCCTGTAATCCGATTACTTTTTTCAAGTAACGAGTAAAGTAAGGG